TTCAGGGTTTAGTGACCATGATCTAGACAACAAATTTCCTGATGTTTCACCACCAACTGTGGCTAGCATCTTCAACTACTCCGGGTCACTAAACCCTGAAGCCCAACCATGTGGAACTGGTTTGCATTGTCTTCTGGTGGACTGCAATGTTTTCTTTTTGTTTTTTACTTTACAATCTAAGTTACAATCCTGGGATGATGGTTTAAACGGGTGTGACCCTGCTTGACTTTCCAAAATCAGCCAACACTGGCTAGATCTTGCCACGCAGCAGGCCCACAAAAACAACTTCCTTTCTATCACACTAGTTTCACTGGAGTGAGGATTCATCTTTTGATTTCACACAGCCTGTAATTTTTGGCATCCAGAAGACCGTCTCTCTGTAAAGCCTGTAGCAAGCTCGTTGCTGTGAGAAAAATATCTTATCAGGGAGGCAGCCAGCCAATTCAAACTCATCAGGAGCACTATATAAAGACGCTTATCTAGAGGCAAATGGGGCCCCACGTCTAAGTTGCATCAAATTGCTGCATTTTCTACACAAATCCCTAAAGCTGCATCTAAGCTTCTAAATTCATTCTTGTTGCATGCACAGAATTTAACATACAATTGCTTTGTAATTGCAAGACACTGCAGGACAGCTGTGTTAGTCTACACGGGCAAAAAATCAGGAGTCTTGGAGCACCGTTTCTGACTAACAAATGTTATTAAAAGGCGTCAGCAACATTAAGGGTGTGTGTAAAAAACAAAACAAAATCCTTCATCCTCTCCCATGTCCTTTGAGAAGAGAACCCATCTGTCCCACTCCCACTTCTGGTCTGTAATGGGGCTCACGCAATCAGGTGCTCCCTCGAGAAATAATTCCTTGCAGAAGTAACCAGAGAACAGTGAGCAAATAAGCCCTTTTCTCTGAGGAAAAAAAACTATCGACCCTCCCTTCATGCAGAAAACCAGCCTGTCAGGGAAAAAGCAGAGAATTCTTCCAGACAGATTACAGGGAGTCCCCAGGTTAAGAACGCCCAGTTTAAGGACAACCCATAGTTAAGAACGGAGCCCAAGTTAAGTACACAATGATTTGAATTAAATACTCAATGGTTAAGTTCATTACACAATACTACTTATATAGTATTACACAATAATATGGTTCTGGCTTATGTACAAATTCGACTTAAGGACAGACTCTGGGAACGGAACTCGTTCGTAAACTGGGGACTGCCTGTACCTATCTATCCAGAGGGCCTTTTAATTTTTGTATTACAGTAGTCACACACAGGATCACCCAACTAGACTTAGGGAGAATCTGGCATGATCGACAGACACCAGAAACACCCTTGAGGAATGACCACACTTTTTGGAACAAGCAGCTTGGGGCACAGGACAGAGTGCCCTCTCTTTTTATTAAAATAAATCGACCTTCATAAGCCAGAGAAGAAGCAGGGCCCAGCTATAGTGGCTCACCGCTTATGCAGAGAAAGAACAGGCTGTAATTTATTAAATGGACACTTTCCAAGCAGATATCAGTTAGCACTTTATGGCTCATTTCAAAAGCACACAGACACGCATCATTTATCTCTGGATGGGATCGTACCGACTCCTTCAAAAATTTACTTCTGAAAGAAAGCAGAAGAGAGGCCTTCACACAGGCACGGAAATCCTAGACTGGGAACCACATCAGAAATATACCGTATTTTGCAAACCGGCAGCTCCATCATTTAGGAGGCTGTCTCTTTTATGTGTCATTTTCTGCAGCCTGGTAATTGCCTTTTTCAATTGTTATGTTTCAAATTACGGCTCCAGCCTCCAGATGTGTTAGACAAAGGGACACATAATCCCATCCATCTACCACCTGCTTGCATTTGGATTAAGGAGGATCACCAAGACGCAAAAGGGCACCCATCTAAATCCAGGGCAATCCTTAGTTCTGGCTTTCAACAGCCTGAGCTCTTGTGATGAGCAAAATACATTACAGGCAAGGAGGAAGAAACAGCTGGCATTTTTCCTTTCAGGGGAAAAAAAAAAAAACACCTTCACCTGCGTTAAACCAAGATGTTTTGTTGTGATATGAATCCTGGCTTGTTTTGATAAAGTAATCTATAATTCTGAGCTGGATAACAAGGTATCTCAATTCGGTTATCCATTAAAGCAGTGTTCCTCAACCTTGGCAACTTTAAGATGTGTGGACTTCAACTCCCAGAATTCCCCAGCCAGCATGGCTGGCTGGGGAATTCTGGGAGTTGAAGTCCACACATCTTAAAGTTGTCAAGGTTGATGAACACTGCGCAAAAGTAAGTGGGAAAAGCACGCCTGGAAAATGAATCTGCATTCACACTGTCCTTGCAATCCTGAGGAATCAAGGCTTATTATGTGCAAACATGGCCTGACCTATGAATCTGGCTGCCACTTTTCACGTTTTTATTCTTTACAAATTGTAGATGAGACGACACAGCAACACAGCAAAGTCTTCCTTTTGCTCCTTTTTCTGCCACACTTGCTTTTCTTCCACTAAGAGAATCCTTGAATGCATCTTTTCAAAGGGAGGGTTAAAAAAACCAATATCCTAAAAATAAAAATAGGAGGCTGAATATCTCATGCAGTGCAGACCTAAGAGCTACTTGTGCCATATCAAATTTCTTTCCAATGACTCCAGTGGGAGATGGAAGAAGGAAGCCATGTAGCAGCTAAGCTGTGGAATAAACTTGGCTGTTGTCACCGGGTGGAATTCTCCATGCCAACAACCAACCAGCCAACTTACATGCTTTAAAAAAGCTCCCTGCTCCTACCAGATTGCAAGTGGATCCGTTGGTAGATAGCTCCAGCAAACAAGTCAAGCAACAAAGTCTAAGAAAGAGACTGGACCCCCAGTCAAAATACAGAAATCGCAGCCCACCATCTCATATGTAAAGATACTTATGGGCAGCGGGTTGGACCAGAAGACCGTCAAGGTCCCTTCCAAACTCCTTTGGGCTATAGGAAATCACTGCAATAGAGAGGCAGAGCAAAAGCTTTGTCTGCGGATCACAGGTCCAGAACTACACATCTCTACTAAAAAGATAAGACAACAGACGACCCGAGAGATGTTGAACCAAAGATTCAGTGCTGCTCAGAATGGATAATATTGGGCTAAAGGGATCAATAGTCAGTCCAATACACAGCTACCCACAAAAGCCAGGAGCGCAACCATACCAAGGGAGTACATTGTTTTTATCTGCAATAAACATATGGATCACACAATTTAGTATAATCCAGTGTTTCTCAACCTTGGCAACTTTAAGATATGTGGACTTCAACTCCCAGAATTCTGGGAGGCTGGGGAATTCTGGGAGTTGAAGTCCACACATCTTAAAGTTGCCAAGTTGAGAAACACTGGAATAGTCATACTGTATAGTGTATGATGGAGAATTATATCCTAGTAAACCACAAGGATTAAGAATTTTTTTTTTTAAATTACTATTCTTATGCCGACATCATGCTTTCACAGAATATTACACAACTATCATTCTGTAACGGTTTCTTAAAGAGCAAAGCCTCCCCTTCTTTTTCCTTCTCTGCCCTTCCTTCCTTCCGTTGCACTAAAGCAGATAATAAGACAATGAAGTCTTGATTTTACACACATTCTCAAAGTTACTGTACTCTAAAAGAAAATCTGTGATGGCTTCCAGCACAGCATAATCAAAGGAAGGGTTTCCGAGTTGGAAATCTGCATTTCCTGATGTTTACACTGAAATAAGGGTTCATTTCAGGACGAAAGCTGGGGCACAAAACTGCTAACGGGCAGAGCTGTGCATGCAAAAATAAGCCCACCACTTCAAAGCAACGATGGTGTTTCAAGACAGATTGCCATCAACTTTAAATGATACTTCAGATTATTTATTAAATTAAATGAAACTCACATAAGACCACCTGTTTATTTACAGGCAGGGAGGCTTTAGGACAGGAAGGCCTGGCGCAATATGGTTCATGGGGTCACGAAGAGTCGGACACGACTTAACGACTAAACAACAACAACAAGGGAGGCTTTCTCAAATGCACTCTCGCTTCTCTGAATCATAACAGTATTGTCTCTTTTTCCTAAATAGGTATTTCGTAAGCCTTGCCAAACTGAGAAAGTATTCTAGATTATCAGTAAGTGGCCTGAAAGAATGCAATTTATCCCCATCATGGAATTATTTCTTGGTTTTTAAAGGAGAGGGCAAAATACCATGCTGAGCAGGTCCTCCCCAACAGAACATTAGTTGGAGTCTAATCTAATCCTAGCACCAATTATCCTAAATTCAGCACCGATTATTCTCTAAAATAGTAAACTCCTATTTGAATAAAAATATAAACTCTTATTTGAACTGAATTTGGCATTTCATGGACCCATCCATATACCTTTCTGGCAACAATACATAAGTGACTTCCCAGTCTGGATTTCCTGGTGGTCTCCACTCCAGGTACTAACCAGCTCCAACATAGTTTAGTTTTTTGAGATGAGCTCCCTACAAAAAAATTTAAAATCCTGGGGAAGATAAGCATTCCTGAGCACCGTTGGTTACAGCAACCTCCCCAATCTAACACCCCCACAGCTGTGTAGGACCACAACTCCCATCACCAGAGTCATCACAACCAAAGGCAGGCTGGCTGAAGTGATAGGAGTTGTAGTCCCATACGCTGGGAAAGGCTGACTTGGAGAGCCAACCTGCCTCTGAGCATATGTGAAAGAGAAAGCAAGTTGCCATCAATCCAAATGCCATGTTAAGCTTGCTCAAAGTTATCAAGTGACTGTTGGGGCAAGTCTTACTAATCCCAGCCCGGCCTGGACCTAGGGGCCTGCCCCCAAGCTGGAACCAGCAGCCAAAAAGGCAGCAGGACCTTTTCACTTACATCCTTTCCCCAAAACGGATGCTGGACGCCAAACGACGGGCCTTCGGGAGAAAGAAATACCGAAAGGGTGAAAATACCTGCTGTAGCACTTAAGAGAGCCATCGCAAGGAAAGAATTTTGATCGAAACCGTGCAAACCGTTACCAGGCAAGGAGTTCGCACCTCCTCATCCACCTCTTTGTTCCAGCGCTGGGATTCCGCGAGGCTGTTCCCAAACAAACCCACCTCCAGCCGGCCGGCCGACCTCCGCCTCCCTCCACGCCCCAGCGCCGAATGAAGACTCCGAGGTCGAGGCAGGGAGGGACACCTCAAGAGGCGGTCCTCTCCTAGCTGAGTGACAAGGAGGCTCGGCCAACGGGCGGCGTCAGCGAGTCGTCGCCTTCCGCCAATCCCGGCGCTTCGTCTCTCGGCTCGGTCCCGGAGATCCGAGCCGCAGGAGGCAAACGCTTTTGAATATGCTAATCGCGGATTGTCGAAGGAGCCAATCCCCGGGCTGTCCTAAAAACTGTTACTTTTGGATGGGACCACCGGGGAAGTGGGCGGAAGGGAGGCCTCTGATTGGAGGTTACGGAAACGCCGCGTGCGGGGATGAAAAGATGCGAGAATGATGAATGGGCTCCTTCCGATGAACGGCGGAGGGGCTGCCGGCTGCGCGCGAAGGAAGTCGCAGCCCAGGACCCGACTTGGCACGTGTCCTTAAGCTGTGGTTGACTTCAGTTGCATTGAATCGATTTGCCAGAGACTTTAAACCGTAAATCTCGCTTTGCGTATTGCAATGTCTGGGGAAGAGTTAAGAGTTAAGAAGGAAGCAAAAAGATCAGAGCGCATCGTCTCCAGCAACCATCACCCAGATAAGCGGAGATTAACCCCAGACAAACAAGCAGAAAACAATACCCTAATCAAGGAACTCCCAAGGAGTTCACCCACCAACATTGGCAGGGCAAGCCACTGTATATAAACAGGGAGCAAATCCCACCCTCTCCAGCACCTATGATGTTGGGTAATGCAACGTCTGCAAGCAAACAACCAAGCTCAGAGAGCACCAAAGACTCCACAGTTCAACCCTGGGCTGCAGATATTGTCTTCTATTAAGATTTCATGCTACAAATGACATTTTTGGTCAAGAGTATTGCGTCACTGCCACCACTTTATACTTGAACTGTGTCGGGCGAAGGAAATGCAATTTTTTCAGGGCGCGAACCTGATGGTTTGGGCAGGACGCTTGCCCACCTGAGACTCAGGTGGCCCACTAAACAAGTATCTTGGGTTTGACTCATTTGTTTAATGGGGTTCTCTTGGTCTAGTTTTAGGACTTGTGTGGAGAACAGACCACGTTTTAGGTCATATTTATGCAGAAATATTGAACTTTCAAAAGGGTTCACAAACTTCTAAGCACCACGGTGGCCCCATAAGGCCAACAGTGTCTCCCTCCATATATGAAACAGAAGAAAATGTTCTTCTGATATATGAAAATGTTCACATAGCCCCATAAACACCAGCAGCTTCTCCCTCCACCTTCTCTCCTTATACATCTTCTTTGTTGTGTTTTACCCACTGAAGTCAATGGTCTTATGAACTCCCCATAAAACGTTTTGGATATAGGCTCGTTGTCATCAGAAAAGAAGACTGGATGGTGGCCATTCAAAGTTTTATTCATGCTAGTCCATCAGGAGCCTCCATACTGTGGAACTTATTTCAGAATAAACTATATAGTCCAGGCATAGTGGCAGTTTTAAACTGCAATGAAATGCAGTGGGGGAAACTTTTGCAGCCCCTTGACATAACAGGAGTTCTGCCAAAGCTGCAGTGGAGGTAATATTGTGGGTCCCTTAACACTATAAAGGTTGGTTAACCAGATTTGTCAACTCTCAGTTTTCAAACAGACAGACAGGCAACCTTGGACAGTGCAACTCTCTACAGGTTAATTTGTTGTTGACAAACTGAACTGCAATCGTACATATACATATGATACTACTATTTTGATACTCTAGAAAAATAGTGCATAGTAACTGCATTGTATTACTCTATGTTCTTGTTTTGTTTTTAGTTTGCGTTCTTTAGCTTTTTAAGTATAGAACTTTTCTTGCAAAAGGTAGAATGCCAGCTCTCCATTTTCTTCTTGATTGCTATTATTTATACTGTTTAAAAATACAATTAAAAATACAGCAACAAAAATATTTTATTAAAGGCTCAGGTCATCAAAGCCATGATGACCGTGGAGGTCAAAAATCTATGGGTCCCTCTGGTGCTGACCATGGTATATGGAAAATTGCTATTTGAAATCTAAGAAAAGTAAATGGTAAAGAGTATGAATTAATGAAATGAAAGCAAGGAAGAAAAAGCAAGACGGTATGTTGTATGCCTGTGAAACTAAGTGAAAGGGGAAGGATGTAAGAGATGTGAATGAAGGTGGTCTGATTTTAAGAATGGAGCTGATGAACATATGGAGAGAAGTGAAGGAGTAGGCTTAATTAGAATCCATGATCCTTGTTGTGGTCCCTTCCAGTTCCACAACTGATAGAAAGATCTCCACTCAGGAGTATTATTGTAAATGTCTATTTTTTTTCTTCCTTAAAAAAAAAAATTAAAAAAGGACTTAAAACACTGAGCTAAGGAAATATATTGTCTGAAAGTGCACATATTACATAGTCTAAAAGCATCTACGGTCTAAAACTCTGTACATGCTGCATTTTGAACTGTAGAAGTAGTAGCAAAAGCTGATTTTGCTGGTAATAGATCCTAATAAAGGTACTGTTTAATTGTGAATTTTGGATGGTCTTTTTTTTCTGTGGGGTCAGCTCAGGCTGGTCATCTGGAAGAACCGTCTATATCATCCATTAACTGATCTCAGTTTTATCCATTGATTACATTTCAATTCCACCTTCTGTCAATGACAGGCGTTGTCACAGATTCCAAGCTGCTCTCCCTCTCTCTTTTCTGATACAGGCAGACATAATTAGCTTCAGCAATGTGCATGGATAACACCTTATTGTTCTGAGACATGGCACATTCTATATTGTTTTAGGAGATACTATTGTTTGCTATGTATTGTTGTTGCTATATTTTATGTTGTTTATTGTATACCACTTAGAGTGTGACAGATGGAAGATTTATTGATAGATAGATAGATAGATAGATAGATAGATAGATAGATAGATAGATAGATAGCATTTGCACATTCATATAATATTCCTGGCGTTGGACATTACTATATTACAGAAAGATTTGCAGTTATGGCTGATATGAAAAAGGAGTGGGAGGAAGGAAGGAACATGAAGAAACTTTGGAAGGGATATCAGCAAGAGGGTCAAAAGATCAGCAAGATAGCAAACAGGGTGTTGTGATGCAAGTCCCACCCCTTTTGAGCATGTGTGTCAACACATACAAAAGAGTGTGGCTTGCATCACCCTGCTCCATCCTCTTTCTAGCTAATTCGGATGCCTCCCCCCACCAGAAACCACTGGCTGCTTGAAAAACAGTGAAAAGAACTGTGGTACAGAGTGCCACAGAAGTACAGTATGTGGCATAACGCGGGTGGAAGGATGAAGTGAGAGGGGCTGTGGATAATAAAAAAAAGTATATACAAGGCAGTGATTGCTGAAAACAATGAAGATGAAAGTTACTGTATAATGTCCATAGAGGGGAAAAGTTAGTTGCAAAGAATGTAATCAAAGAAAGGACAGAATGGTTAAGATTAAAAGAGGAAGAGAAAATGATTTTAGGTGATTTTGAAGGAAATAAAACATTGTTTTGGGAGTGAGGGAAAAAGCCTAAACAAGGAGCCTCCATAGAATGGAGAATAAAATTAAGAATAAAAGAGATGAAATGATTTGGTATGCAACTGAGGTGAGAGAATACTCGGAAGAGTATTTCAGAGATTAAATGGGAATGATATGCGATCAAAGAGTCGAACTGAAATGAATGGTATAAACCTTAGTGTGCTTCCCCCAAAAGAAAGTAATGTGATAGGTACATTTGGGTGAAGTACGTCTTTCGATGTGAAGATCCCCAAAAGCTTCTCAGAAATCTCCAGGTTTCCTGCAATGCTCTCTTTAAAAAAAATGGTTCATATCAAATATATTGCTGAGCTTCAAAAAACCCCCAATTGCTTATTATTGTTCGTTGTTTTCTTTGCAGGTGGGGAAAATACCCAGACTTTTTCACAATCAAAGTTCATTAGAAAATTTAAGCAATCATGTGATAAGTCAAAGTCTTTCATTTTCTATTTAAATATAATTCGATAATCCTGGAAGTTAACACTATGTGAACTGAGGATACATTGGAGAAGAGGCAGAGAAGCCTATGCAGATGGTCATGTACAGCAGAATGGATAAAAAGGTGGTTTTCTTCACTTTCGTCATCCCAATGGCAATTGCAAAGAAAAAACACGCATCGCCAGTGTGAAAGCTGGAAGGAATTTACAGGGTGAGTAGAGCAAGGTTAGTGGGTCATTCTTTCCTTCCCCACCTCCTCCTCATGGACTACACCAACCGCTTCCCATTTTATTTTATTTATTTAAATTTATTGTCCGCCCAACTCCAATGGACTCTGGAAAACTAGCCCTTTCTCAGCCCTTTCCCTTTCCTTCTTCCCCATCTTCCTTCAGCCACTGCTGATAACAATCTCTGTCTTCACCAACTCTAGGGGAACATCTCAGCCTTGGCTTTTTCCCGTTCTTACACACACACACACGCTCTGCACTATTTCTGCCCGGAACCACATTTAGGTCTGTAGCAGGGACTAAACAGCCCCATTCCATTCCGTGTAAAGACCAAAACATCGCAAAGCACATGTTTCGTTTGAGGCATAGAACTCTCAAAAAGCAACTGCTTTGCACAAATCAAGGTAGTTTGTGCATGGGGCGTTTTCATACTTCACATCCCTAATCTGGACCCTGCTTCCTCCTCCTTGGGATTCACAGGATTCTAAAGACCATTCCCAATTACCCAATGAGCAAACCCTGACATGTCTGGCTTCAATTCGGTGAGTCAGATGTCTTCAGACTTCACATTGATACAAACAACGAGGTGGATTTTTTAAAAAAGTGTGTGCAGTTCAGAAGGATTCCAAGCTTGGCTGAGCTGTGAAAGTCAAGTCTTACCTCCTACTGCTTTTGATAGTTATCACACCAAAACCAAAGATGAATGTACAAGTAGTTTAGAGCCCAAAAAGTGTTCTCCAAGTGTGCTGGATTTCAACTCACACAATCCCTAGTCTGCATGGCCAACCCAAATGGAAGATGCCAGGTCGTGAAGGCTGAGCTAAG